GGGGGGGGGAGGGGAAGAAGGAAGAATGCAGGCAGAAGAATTTTACTCAAAGTCTGGCAGGATTCAGTCAAGGCACTCCCAGGAATTCAAGGTATGTAAGACACAGCCCTTTCCTCATGGGCTTTATATTTGTGTGAACACATAAGCCTAATAATAATTACCTAATAATACAAGGCAGTGTTTACTAAAGTACTAAATTACACTATGTAAACAATGAACACCCTAGGAGTTCAGAAAACACACACACACTCTTTTTTAATCAGCCGAGGGAAGCTTCAAAGGAGGAAGCAATATTTGAGATTATGCCGGCTGATTGTGAGTGCTTCAATGAAAACAACTCTTCTTTTTCAGTTTATTATTTATGTATTTTTAAAGTTAAATTTATGAGGGTGACATTGATTAATGAGAATACCTAAGTTTCAACTTATTGTAACACAGCATCTGTATATTGTACTGTCGGCTGATCACCCAAAGTTTAGTCTCCTTCCGTCACCATGTATTTAACCCTCTTTACCCTCTTCAATCTCTCCCCAGCCCCCTTTCCATATGGTAACCATTATACCTGGTACTGTTATCTGTATCAATGAGGTTTTTTTTTGTTTGTTGCGGTTTTTTGTTGTTGTTGCTTTCTGGAAAACAGCTCTTTTCTAGTCGTGCTAAGAGTTGCTCTGCAGAAATAAGGAACAAAATGTGCTGAAAAAAATCATGAAATAATAATGGTGGGGATGATTTCCTTAGCCTGGACCATTTATTAAGCCTTTGCTCTGAGGTCAGAACTCTGTCAGATGCTTTCTCATACATTATTTCCAACCCTGCAGCAATGCTAAAGGCTGATGCCATTCCTCTTTTGCAGATGTAAACACTGAGGCTCAGAAATGAAAAGCACTGGCCCAGGGACACACTGACAACGAAAGACTGAGCCGGGAGGTCGGCCTGAACTGCAGCTCTTCCCCCGAGCCCAGGCGGCTGTCTGTGCCTCCGGACACATGTCAGAACAGACAGCTTGCAAGGCAGAAAGGCTTCTCTAAACATTTACTGTCTGCACTTGCAGCTTGCAAGAAATACAGCCGTGCAGAAAGGGGAAGACTCGGCAGTCCGCAGCCCATGTCACTTTTTCAGGCTCACGGCCAAGGAACACCCCATAAAAGATCCGCCTAGAATTTACCTTACTGTGGTATCCTTATAACAGCAAAGAAAAGCTGAAAAAAACGTCAAGGGTTTGATTATTTTTCTGGAAATTCCTATGCAGATTTCCAACTTCTGGTTATTTGCATTTGGCATTAGAGGCTAAGTCCTTCCTACCCTTCTTACTACCATGACAAGCATGTTCATGGCATATTGCAGAAGCTGGGCATGGGCAAGGGAGCCCCAGTCCACAGCACACCTCAGTCAGTATGAGCTGAAGAGGAGTGTCTGCCATTTAATCTTCTTTAAGGAGCTTCTTAATCTGTTTTCCCTCCTGACAAATCCATGTGAACAATGAACCACTACAGAAGAAAATGAGAAATGGCGATTTCCTGAGAAATGGCAGGTAATCCCTGCCTTGACTGTGATGCTGGTAGATATTTTAGGAGAACGTGGCAGTTGTCCTTCAACATACTGAACCTCCATTGCTGTATCAGGAAGAGGCTCTAAATTAGCAATCCTGAATCCTTCCAAGGTCGTGGGCCCCTTTAAGAACTTAGTGAAAGTTATAAATGCTCTCTTCTCCCCCAGTAAACACTCACTCCACATGTACATTCTGATTCTGTAGGCGTTTTTAGGGACTTCTGTACCTTCCAACGTTTGTGCCAAAAGCACTGGATTAAGAAAAATTGTGAGGAGTATGGTGATTACCTGAGGGAAAGGGGGTGGGGGGCGTTGAAGAGGATAAAGTGGGGATAACTGGTGGTGGAAGGAGACTTGACTTGGGGTTGGTGAACACACAATCCAACGTACAGATGATATATTACAGAATTGTACACCTGAAACCTATATAAGTTTAACCAGTGTCACCCCAATAAATTAAACTTTTTAAATTAATTGTTAAAAAAGAAAAATTGTGAGGACATATTGGGCTTAGCAAAAAAATTAAAAAATACTCCTGTTTAACTTTGTGAGATCTTTTCCCTGATCACATGAAAAATGACAGGAGACGCAGCGCATAGATCACAGATCTCACTCCAATTTTTAAATCTCTCGTTTCAAATACTTTATTCCACCTGTGCTATTTGTTCATCATCTGTCTCCTTCCACAAGAGCACAGAGACTTAGTGTGTCGTCCACGGCTGTGTCACTGGTGCTGAGAACAGCAGTACCTGGGAGGAAAGAGGAGCTCAGCCAATGCTACCGGAAGAAGAAACGTGTCTCCTCTTGAGAGTCCTGAGCTGCAAAATTGACTGTCTTCTGTGTAAATTTAGGTTTGCTTTGATCTATAATACAGTAGTCAAATGCTCTCTTTCAAGGGCTATCTTCCACCTATACCACTTTGAAATGTATTACTAAATTTGTATTTGCTTTTCGATGCTTTTACTAATTTTACTTACAGTGTTTTCCTTTTTATATTTTTATAATCACCTTCCTCCCACCCAATGACCACCTTCTCCTTGATCGTTCCTGTTCCATTGACTAAAGATAAAGTATGTCTGGGGGCATCAATTTATAAAGCCAAGTGAACAAAATGCAATGCATTTGAATGACAACAAAACAAATGTCAGTCTCTCCAAATATGCCTGCTTAACTAGTCAGCTTTAAACATATTGAAACGATGCAAATACCGAATACTGAGATATTAGCATGAATAAGAATTTATCCATGGTGGCTGCTATGAAAATGTGTGGAGTCAATGTGGTTTGGGTGTTTAAACCCTGCTTGCTCCCTCCCATGGTTTAAATATGGCCCCTGCAACGTCTTCTCATTTAAATCACTTCACAAACCATTTCCTCAAATATGGTACAGAGTCAATTTTAGTACTTGTGAAATTCTCACAAATTCTGGGTTAGAGAAGTATGAATTAAAGACGTTTCACTTTACTTTGTCATCTGCATTCCTAGGTTTAATCAAAAGCGGTGCTTTAACATTTTTTTTATTTAAAGGAAAAATATAGTGAAAACGACAACAAATGACATTTGGTGGCCCTGCAATACAGAGCTACATCTTGAAGCTATGTCCAACAAACCTCTCAAAATCTGTTTGAGGACACATTTTAAAATGTAGGGCCAAATCTCTGCAGTTAACGTTCATAACTTCCTAGCACCCTACATTCGCTGCCAGCAGACTCTCCACAAATCTGGCTGATATAAAGGAGCTGGCAGAGACCCCGCAGGAACAGACGTTAGTGATACAGAGTGAAGCCTGTGGGAATTACTGCTGCTGGTTTTAGACCAGGAGCCTCAGCAAGCGCCTGCACTGAAATGACTTGATTTGTAGCCGCATCGCTCAATTATTCATAGCACTCCCGGCTGCAGCCTCCACACCCTTGCATGAACATTCATGCATATCCATGTTCACATGGGCGGTCATGCTCCCACATGTGCCATTAAGGGACAAGAATGCTGCTCAGAGTTCGCTGATCAAGAGATATGCCGTGCAGAACAGGATTTGAGACAGCCCAGGGTTTCCTCTTCTAGTAGGTTTAAAACATTTTTTTTTTCTCAGTAACTTCCTTCCTGTTCTAACTGCCAGTGCTCAGAAGTCAGAGTTGAGAGACAGAGGCACCCCGGACAGAGACGTGAAGCACATTGAATGTAAGTTGAAATACTGGGGGGTTGGGGAGGGGGGCTCCAGGTGGGCACAGAGAACAGGCTACAGCCCTTTCCAGTGTATTCTCTTTTTAGAGGGGCAGTTCCTCTTTAAAACAAACTTTATGATAAGAATGTACTAAGGAGGCTGCAGGAACAGTTCTGCAGAGAAGGGGAAGTCAGAGCCAGGAATGGTAGCAATGACTCAGGAGGGACAGCGCGGTGAGGGAGGAGAGAGTGCGTGCAGCCCAGGAGACCAAATCCTAAATGTCCTGGACAAGGGCTGCGTGTACACCCCCTGGGGAGCGTCCAGAGGGGTTTCCACCAGGTGGGAGCAGGCATCTGGCCAGGCTCAGAGGCAAAAAGACTATAGATCCAAACTGAAACGGATGGTGCTGGAGGATGGCGGGGTGGTGCCGGGTGGAGATGTGTGGTTTCCTGTTTTTAAGTAGACTTAAAGAGACTGGTTGAAAAGGGGGGGGAAGTGGCTCAAAGCTGTCAAACATTAAACTGCCTTCCACTAAAGAATGTTCTGGGGATGCAAGAGAAACACATAGGGAAAGCCTCCCTTAGCGTCTACAAGGGGATCTAACTGTAAGGAGGAAGCATGGTGGATAGAATACACTGTTATTTACTCGTCAGTCCTACAGGCATAGGATTTCTACCACGCACAAGCACCTCTTGTTAAATTCCTGTGGTGAGATGAGTAGAAAGAAAGGTAGTTGCTGTTGTTGCCAAAAATAAAAAATAAAATCTTTACATCTGAGAGAAACATTGAATAATAAGAGCTAGAATCTAGAAAAATCCAAGTGGACCCAGCAAGGGCACCTGGTCCATGGACTTTCAAAAGGAACTGGTCTGAGCTTGGCCGCCATTAGAAGTGCTTGAGGCATGACCTGAAATACTGGCTTCCTTTTTCAAGGATGTCCCCACCGGCATGTTTTCTAAACAGAGCCTGTAATTAAACTCTAGCTGTAGGGTAACTTGTGGGATGATGGGACGGATAAACCCTGAGCTGGTCTCCTGTTCAAGGTGGGGGGAAGGCAGGCTGTTCTCACTTGGAGTTCCTATAGTCACTCCTTCCCACAGAGCCCAAGAGCCCCTGAACTCAGGGCTAGCCTGTTGGGTTCTCACGGCAGGAATGACCACGCAAGGGGCATCGAGGGGTCAGTCACAGGCAGGTATCATTCTTGTTTGCCATTGCTTTGCTTTCTTCAATTTACGAGAAAATATCCCTCCCGATCCAGTTATGACACAAACACAGGAAGGAGATCATCTTACCCTTTGGGGAGATGTGTGAATTTCTCAGAGGACGGTTCAGTCTCCATCCGTGCAACACAGGCCAATGTATGGGAAATGACCTTGTCACAGCCTAGCCAAACCCGGCTGGCATCTTCCTGGCACTGAAATTGGTCTCTTCCTTGTTTGGGGGAGCATGCGTTTGCTCTTAGGGAAGCATGTTCCGGGCAATATCAAGGTTCTGCTCGCAGTGGAAGCTCGGACGGGCAAAGTCAATGTGGCAGAAAAATTTGGGCCAGTTTGTGGGAGCACAGTAAGTGCCCAACTTCAGCTCACAGGATGAGAGCGGCCCTGGGGAGGAACAAACAGACCCGTGAGAAACAGAGCCAACCTGTGTGGAGTGCCTTCCATGAGTCGGGCCTGGCGTTAGAAATTTTACATTTGAATCCTGGACACAGGGAGGACAGCAAGCCTCGGAAGTGTTTCGTGATTCGACTAAAGTCACGTACTGGTATGTGTAGCGGGTGGGGGTGGCGGCGCAGCTACAGTGCCTCCGAAGGACATTTGAGGAAATGTCCCATGGGAGCAATTTCCTTAAGCCCCACATTCTGAGCATCCTGTTCCTGGGTCAGTGGTATCACCTCCCAGGATTCTAGATTGGAGTCCACACTGGCAAACCCAGAGATGGGTCTCCTGTTGTTACTAAACCTTCGACATCGATTCATTCAATAAGCACTCGATTGCTCTGTGCTGTGTTCCACTCTCTGGTTTCCACAGCCAGAGCTGGTAAAAATTCACGTGGGTTTTCTTAAAGGGACATATTCTAAGCACAAGTGGTCATTAAAAAAAAAAGGCTTTATTTCTGTCTACTTTTTCATGCTTCATTTAAAATGGTAAATGTGTTGAGATACTACAGTATAGTCTTTTGCCTAATAATGGCTTACTTAATGCAGCTTTCTTTAAAGATTACTTAAAATAAATATCTGTGAAAATGCCTAGCACAGTGACTTCACACGGTAGACATGAGAAAAGTTTAAGGAGGATTCAGTTCTCCCTCCTTTTGCATATGAATCTGGGCCAGAAGAGTATATATTACTATGAACGCACGGACAAGAAATAATGTACTGTTTCTCCCACCAAAGGAAATGTTAAAGAATTCTGTTTCCAGTCATTTGGACCCTCCTCGGGATTGATGGTAGTGTTCGTTGTATCTAACCAGGCCTTGTGCTCTCAGGCGCTGGATTGGTTCTTTTCACACAGCTTTGCAGTTTCAGATGTTCTTCCTGGAGCTGAGATGGTAGAGAGCAGCCCCGAGGACCCCAGAAAGCAGCGATTCCTCCATGTCACTAGGGAATACAGAGACTCCAGGGAGGACTCCAAAGCGCAGAAACTCTGAGGTCCCAAGGGTAGACGTGGATGTCCTGAATAAGCCCAATCACCAAGCAGGCAGCAAAGCAGACCAAATCCCTGACTGGCTCTGAAATGTTGGCAGTCCTTCAGAGGTGGCCCGACCCTCCACGCCCTGCTCCAGAGCTGCAGCTCCAGATATGGGGAAAGTAGGGCTGAATCAGTCATCCAGTCATCGGGGAGTGGAGATGATGGGGGTGGGAGGTGGGGTGGGGGATTGGAGAATGCTGATACTTACTTCCATAGGTACTTCTCCGATGGAAATCCCCTCTGTCTGGTACTTCCACATTTCTCCCCCACCTCCTTGTCTCTACCTCTTTTATCTAATTTCTGTGGTCTGTGCTTCTAGATGCACGATCTGGCAACTTTGGGACACGAGTCAAGTCCCCACAGTGTTTTGCTCCAGGGTCAGAGGGAATTCTCTCCATTAGCTGTGCCTTTCTCATCCTTGCAGAGTGACCTCTGGCTTCAATTATGATAGGGAGCAAAAAATAGAATCTAAAATTAAATTGTTCATGTGGAAGCTTTTTTAAAGAAATAAAATAGTGACAGTCCCATGTTAAGGTTGATTCCGTTAATAAACAATCTTTGTAATTCCCAGGACTTCATGTCTCTTCTGTACTCCTCAAAGAAACAAAATCTATTTTTAAGGAGGAAGGAGTGGACAGGGTCAACACTGCAGATAGAAGGGAAAGCATTTGGTGCCTGGGCAGTCAGTTACCTCTTCATCGGAGCTGAGCAACAAAACAGACAGCATTGCAGGGAAGGGAGGAGAGGAAGGGAATGGATAGTTATTGGACATCTACTATTGGCCAGTATTGTCCTAGAACTTTTCATATATTTTCTCCTACTCTTCCACCCCATAAAGAAAGATGAGTACTCCCATTTACTGATGGTAAAACTTGGGCGCAGTGAGGTTAATAACTTGCTTAAATTCAATACTAATTCAAGAGCAAACCAAAGTTTGACTCTCTGACCCATCAGACTCAAAGTCCATGCTCCAGGAGACGTGAAACTTACCTTTCTCTGAATTTACCAGGTGATATGTTTCCTCTAAACTCAGAGAATTTCACCTTTCCTTGCCCTCATATTATTTGGAACTCCATTAATGAACCAGATAGTGTGCTCTATCCTGAGATTGTTGCCAGTTCGTAAGTATATTTCACTTTCAGTACCTTGGAAATGCCACTGAATCTGCAAGTGAAAACATCGATTTGTGCTATGTCATAGTCATGCCATGAGTAACCATCTTAATTTAATTAGGTGTTTTAATTGAGGAGGAAATGATTAAGTCTCCACCTCACCACATCTAATCCTTGTTATTGTTTCACTGAATAGCAGGCCTGGAGGTGTCAAGTTTCCACTGTGAAAACTCATCAGTGTATAGGATTAATTATACCAAATGTAGAAAAAGAGATGGCTCAAACAGTAAGCACATTTAAAAAGCCATTATGTGACACAGTCCACCTTAACCTCGTTAAATATATATAATTGTTAATTCTCCATTTCACTTTTCTGTGTAAAGAACCAAAGTCAAAGACAACATCAATGAAACAAGCAAACAAAACCCTGTTCTTTGTGAAACAGTGGGCAAGCTGGAAGGTGTGAAAAGCCCGGCCAGATGTTCTGCTGATGGGCTGGGTGCTCCCCCATCCCACCTCCACTTCCTCTTTTTCTTTCTCATTTCATAGACTTCTTTACATTAGGGAGCATTCGAATCATTGGACTAAGAAGGGGCCTCTGAGACCTTCAGTGCAAAGATTTCATTTTGCAGAGGATGAACCCGGAGCTCAGAGGGGTTCAGAGGCTTGCGCAAGGTGACACGGGGCAGAGCTGCACTGAAACCTTCCGTATGCGCCACTTCCTTGCTTTGTGAAAGCCAACCCTGCAGAGTGGTGCAAAGAAGCATTTACCTCTGCCTGTGCACCCCGGATGGATTCCCAAAATGACTGACGTGCTTTATAATTTTATTGTTACTCCTTCATAAAGATAACGGAAGCAACAGAGCGAAGTAGCTAAAGGTCAGACAATCCATACTCTGACCCCTTACACAATATGTCTTCTTGGGCACGTTATGTACCTGAATCCGTGGAAGGGTTTCCTGATCTGTAGTGAGCACTACGTGAGGTGAGGTAAACCTCATGAAAGCATTTAGCACTGTAAGATAGTTATGATAATGATCATCACCAATAAATTCAATTATTCTTTAGATGATGAGATTTGAAAATGGTCTGTAGAATTTCCATCAAATTTTGATTTAACTTTAATAAACACTCGAAAGAAAACTGACATTTGTGGCTAAATATACACAAATACATAGTTTGGGAAATGGTCAGCAAACTATATAAACCATTTATGGTTTATAGTTTGGGAGAATCTAAGTTTCCCCAGAGACAAACTGCAAAATTTAAAATGTAGCACCTTTGGGGAATTCACGTAAATTTGAAATACAACACAGAGATGTAGTCTCTTAAATACTCAGTAACAGAAATAAGGTAACTGAATGCCAGCCTCACTGACTTCAAGTCAGTAGAAACATCTAGATAGAGGCCTTAGAAAAGGAAAGCACCGAGAGATGGTCTGCTCTCACCCCTCACCTCCCAAGACGAGGAAAGAGAGATCCATAGTGGTTGGAACATTTGCTGGGTGGGGTCACAGCTAGTTAGCAGCAAAGCCAGAACCCAAACCCATGCCTGATAAGGCTTAATTCAGTGAAGAGATCAGAATCCAAAATCAAGTAGATGGACCACATGACTCTTCTGCTGAAGGCCTGCTCCCTGGGCACCTTTGATCTCAGTCCAGGCTTTGCAGTCATGTTCCCTCAGATGAAGAGGCTTCCTGATATCTCTTCCTGCTTCTATACACCCAACATTTTGTGTTCATGAACTTGATCCTTAGCTTGAGGCCCAGTTGTGTCTTTGATCTATCAGGTCTGAGCGAGAAGGAAACTTTCTCAACTCTTTGTTTCATATTTCCAAAAGTTACAGTTTCAAGGTCATGTTCCTAATCTTGGACTCCAGTGAAGTCTATGAAGTACCTCGGGGGTCCATGAACCCCTGGATTGCATGCGCAGTTTCATTGGTTTATTCCTTCCTTTTTTATGAGGACCATGACTTTTATTACATGTTTAAAGAGATCTGCAATCTCCAAAAATCAATCAAACCAGCTGGGCCTTCTTTAGTATGATTAGATTGTTCATCCTCCAATCCCTTCTCCACTTTGTTTGTCTCTTTGTTTTAAATATGTTTTTATTGATTTCAGAGCAGAAGAGAGAGGGAGAGAAAGATAGAAACATTAATGATGAAAGACAATAATTGATTGGCTGCCTCCTGCATGCCCTCTACTGGGGATCAAGTGTGCCCTTGACCGGAATTGAACCTGGGACCATTTAGTCCACAGGCCAAGGCTCTAACCATTGAGCAAACCGGCTAGGGCTCCTTCTTCATTTTGAAGAGTAACTTCAGCATTGGTATGTGTTAAAACAGTGTCTTGCAAACAGTAGGTGCTCACCAATTTTTTCTGACTTTAATTTTGCTTCAAAGGGGCTTTTCCTGAGAACTACTTCTCCAGTTTATTTGCTATAATAAGATATTTTCATCTTTTTCTAATCAGCTTACCAGAGAGAGCTGGTTTTGGATTGTCTCTTTATCCTATGCTATATAATTAAACCAAATTATTTTTTGGGGTGGTCCTGAATGTCCTACTTTTGACTACAACAAATCAAACAGTAACCCCACATTATCCTCTGCTCTTCTATGTCTTTAAATAAATTGGTGTCTCGTTTTTATAGAACTGATATAAGTCTCATATTTACTAATGAGAAGATCAAGATCTAGATGACAGATAGATTGACTTGTCAATGATCAGCATACTGTTAGAGGTTAGCAGTTCTTGTCCCAGACCAGATTTTTCTCTGTCTCCATCTCTCTGCTCCTCTCACTTTCTCTCATATTCTCATTTCAAAATTGAGATTCTAGGATATAGAATTACAATTCCCTGTAGGTTATTGAGATAGCCTTGAGCTAGTTAGAGGCTGGGTGGGAAGTCTAATAGTTAAGGCTTCAAGCAGATGACTTGTTAGAAGCA